TGTAGCGTCTGCTGTCGTGAAAACAGTCCTTCGGATGAAACGCTGTCCTCTCACATCTTAAACGGGAGATTACATCTCAATAGTTGTCATTCTCTGCCGATTCCCCCAGCCAGAGGAACATTTCAATCTAGTTTTTGGATTCGTGGAAATCGAATACGGTGTAAGCCCTTCCAACCTCCCTGTATGCACCTCAATAGGGAAGCAGATCACTTATGTAACTGTTCAAATTTATGAATGTAGCCTTCGGTTTGCTGTACTTCTTGCCTTCTCTTAGTGTGTGATGCAGGTCTTCGTTTTCCAGATCGAGCACCATCTCTTCCCGACTATGCCCAGATGCAATCTGAACACTTGTATGAGGCTGGTCAAGGAGTTCTGCCGCGAGAACAACCTGCCGTATCTAGTCAACGATTACTTCGAGGGTTACGCCCTTAACCTTAAGCAACTCGAGAACATTGCTCGCCTATCGAAGGCCAAAGCTAACTAAATTCAACATTCCTCACGTGCGGTTTTCAAACAGGGTTTTCAGAGAGTGTCCGTATTGTCTTTTCACCATTTCTTTCATTTCTTTTCGTGCAGCACTATGTGATTTGTCTTACCATGCGTGGCCTCGCCCGTAAATGTTAGCTCAGGGCCAAGAGAGAAACCAAGCAAGGATCTTCAGTCGCCGATAATGTGTAGATGGAACAAAAATATTGAAAGCTTCAGCTTAGATGATGTGGTTACGAATTCAGTCGTTGTGTAATTGTATATCTGCAATTGGTGAAGACTCTTATGCTGATCGAGCGCCTTTCGCTCATCGAATTGAGAATCTTGCCTTTTTTGCTCCATGAACCCATAACAAGCGTCGAACAGCCTTGAACGTTTGCCAAAAGCAGGAAGGAGAGGGGTAACGGAACTTCTCCCCTATCGCGGCATTCTCCCTTGCAGCATGCGGCAGATGTCACTGCAATTACCGTACTCAACCCGCCTCCCGAAAATCGATAGGACGCGATATTTTTCCTTGACTGGCTTGCTTTTTCATTGGATTTTATCGTTTTTTCTTCTGTTTCTTTTTAGTTTTCATGTTTATTAGACTTGATTAATTAAAATGACTCCTCTTATATAGACGACGATCAATACCGCATTGAAATTGAAGGGAGCGACCAACCAATTCAAATGATTAAAGGACTCCCTACCTCACAAACTGCGCGCTCCAATCTTTCATCGCAATCCTGCGATAGGCGGCGGGTGCGGCGTGTGCGACGCCGTGTTAGGGGAGAAGTTCCCGGACCCGAAGGAGAGCAGCGTGAAACAACTCAAACTGGCAGATTTTCATCTCACGCCTTGCAATGTGATCTCTCACCAACTTATTTGTTACCCTGTGGTGTATTACTGCCGATCATGTTGTTCAAAATAGGCGATGCTCGATTCTTAGACTCAAAATGAAGTTAGCCCTTAAATATTAGATTGAGTCCCAAGTAATGTCAGACTTGTTACCGACATTCTTAATTTCACTATTATCATTGCAAACAAGGCCTAACTTCTAACAACTGACATTTAACTAATCGCTGGTGAGTGGATACCTATCTTCCGGAATTGGGATGTTATGCTAACAATGGTTATACGTTTGTTTCGGGGTGTTCATGATCATGGTAGCTTTTGTCTGCCGTCTGCCTGTCTTGACTATAAACATTTGCCTTTTCTGTTCTTACATTTCTCTAACTGCTCTTTAATGAGCTCTCTTCTGATTTTTGGGCTTCACTGCCTTCTTTTTTTACCAATTTTTTCAGAAGGAAGGTGAACGGAGCCCGTCAAGATGTTCACTTTCGCGATCATTGGGCATTGAACTTTGTCAGATGTTGTATTCCAACAGAAGAGAGTTGCAACCTTCCTGGCCTCGCAGCAAGCAGTAGATTTTGAACATTTCATGACACCCCTCGCTTCTCTTTGCTTGTCTGCTTTCTCAAGTCAGTGGATCGGCCAGTCTTGGGCAGCAAAGTTTGGCAGATACTCTCAGAGTACGCTTAGCCTCCAGCCTATATGAAATCCTCTTCTCTATCCGAACGATTCCTTGATTTTTTGGAGGAGCTCTGCTCGCCTGCAACAAGGTTGAAAGGGAGTATGGCGTCCAGATTCACTTGGCTCGTATATATCGAGGTGGTGAAGGTTCTCTTCAGCACCATGCTTGTCGTTGCCGACAAGGTTAGAAAGAGCTTGAATTCAGGCATAATCTTAACTCAGCAGCTCGGTTTGTCTTCAAGGGAATAGCTACTGCTGCTAAACACTAAGGCACAATGTTGATCGGACCTCGATTTTATTGCGTATTGTTCTTCAGTGGCTCAAATGTCTGAGAGGATGTCGTAGAAGGAATAGGATAAGTGTCAGTGGCAGTGAAACGGCTGATGGGATTCGAATTCCTCTCACCAATATGTCGTCAGATGATGATCGACCTCCGCTCGATCGGACGCTAAGAACATCTCTATTCGTTCCTATCGCGATTCAGAGTAGTCCACTTGATCGACCAGCATTCGCTCGCCTGCTCGATGTTCGGTTTTATAGGCACAATGTCGTCTGCAAAGTGGAGATGATGTCAGTTGCTGTCTTGCCGACCTTCACTCCCATACCTTCCCATCCCAAATGATGCATGAAATCTCAAGAGCGGCACTAAAGGTTAGGCGATATGGTAACAGCCTGTCGAACCTCTTGACATTGTCAATGACTTCCTTGTGGAATGGCGAAGCTCTGATTCTGAAGTTGTTCTAGGGTTCATGAAGCATCCTCAAATGTTGAGTAGAAACAACCTGGCTGCCCGGAGCTTTGATTACTGCTTCTGTCTAGACGATTCCATAGACCTCCTTCAAATCGATGAACATAAGAAGTTGATAGTTGGTAGATTGCATACAGCAGGCAGATTGGGCGATAAATACCATTATCGTTTGGATCTCCCGACAAATACAGCAAAGCAGTCTTGTTGGTTTTCATCGACGAAGACACTCAGAATTCCGACAGGTACCGCATGGAGTCCCTAGCCAGGATTTTGAGCATAAGTAGAGGAAAGCTCTTTCGATGCTTTGGTGTAATTCTATTGGGACCAGTAATTCTCAGCATTCTCTATCAACATCACCGCACGTCGGATTTCGGAAGGGAGAACTGAATCAGGATGAAGCTCCGGACTGTGCAAATGCTTTTCACGGTCTTGGCGGACTCGCAGTACTGCTACTTTAGTAACATTTTGTCTTTGAGATCTCCCTTCATCGCTTCTTTACATAGCTACGCAAATTCGGACATTTGTTGGTGACAAATACGGAGACCTTGACTATTTATTGACTTTTATCAGAATACTGAACTTTGCTATAGCATCGTTGGAATAATCTGGTGGATAGAAGTCTTAGTCGGATGATTAGAGAATGTGCTCATAAAAAGATACAGCTCTATCTTGTCCTAATATACATAACTATACTGTATTTGCAAGTCATAAACCGCTGTTCCTTAATATGGTTATGACTATGGATTATGATAAAAATCTTTGTATTAGCTTGAATCAATAAAAATCATCATCATTGAGATGAAGATGGAGTTAACCTCAGCACACTTTAACAATATGTTCATGATATTCAAATCAACAGTAATTATGAACCGTTAAATTGCTTTAAATACTTTTCAAGGCATTCTTCAGAGGAGAGCAAGCAAGGGAACGGATAAGAAAAGTTGTTACCAGATGCCAATATTGCATGATTGTGACACTCGTAGAATACATTACGAAAAAAGCATGTGAGGCAAGCTCATATTCACAAAAATTGAGTAGAAAAAGTAATAATCACCAGCAAATATAAAAATAAATGTGTTGAACTGCTGGGCTCGATTCGAAAGTTACACCCGTTTGTAACGCAGGAGCACACCTGCAACACGATTTTTAGAAAACAACGAAAAATCTATGTTCTCAAAGCTTCCTGCACTTCAAGCGCTGGAGTTGTATAGTCACAGATGAGAGTTTATCATTATAATCATCCTGTTTTTGCTACTCATCATAGCTTTTTTTGCTCTTTATTGCAATCGTGCTTATTAAATCTGGCGATGACATCAAATATTACCATATACATATATTGACAAAGACTTAATCTTCATCTGAGATGCCATATTCCTTTATACCACACGTCTTTTTTTTACTAATATTTGATTAGAGGCTGTGANTACATATTGCAGCAGCAAAACGAATCTTGTTCTGTAACGAGTGAAGCAGTTCAGAAACCGCCTTCCACTTTTGGATCTTTTCATTCATCCCGCATCAGCTGGGCAAAAGAATATTAGCAGGAATGGGTTTTAAGCAGTAAAATCAATATTAACCCTTTGACGACCAAGGCACCCACCGGTGGGTGCCACTATGACTGGCGCATGGAACCGTGGCACCCAATGATGAGTGCCACCATGTTTTTTACTTTATTTGCACAGTTAAACTTATTTAATATTTTCATATTCATCAATAGACTTTATAGTATTCATATTCAGTGTGGTCCACGTGAATGATTCCTGAGAACCTATTAATTACAAACTTATATAGTCAACGGAGTAGTGCTGAAAAAGTTTAGGAACTTTAGCGAGGTTTGTTTACGTCCTGGAAGAAGTGAAGGCAGTACCTAGAATCCCTGATTTGCGATTATGTGACCGCGCAGTCGATATCTTCATCCTCAAGCTCCTTGGATGTTATACGAATTCCTACTGCTTACACTGTTACCAAAAGTCTAACCTACATTGCTTCCAAACGCAATGAAGCGCAATTCTAAGCCTCTGTTTTATATAAGATAAAATAAGATCTGATGCTCCTGTTATGCGGAAATATTGCTGAGTTTATTTAGCCCGAGAGAGGAGTACCTCCTGGGACCATGGCACCCGCCGGTGGGTGCCAGTCGCGCACAATAGGAAGGGGGTGTGGTCCCATGGGCGCGTCACGTCGAAATTGGCATTGTCGTCAAAGGGTTAAACAATCTTTCTTAGTCCTTCTAACCATTTTCATTTTCAAATTTCAAGTTCTCCTCAGACACCTGTAAATAATTCAGCCCACGTGAGTAAATCTTATTGGATTCAAGTTCTCCTCTCTTCCCTTTTCGAAGCTAACGTCAGTTCTTCAACTCGCTTGATTTTCTCGCTTCCTTTGCGCTGTTTGATAATTCCTGGGTAGCCTTGGTTTCAACAGAGCCATCTTGATTTTTTTGGTCACTAATTGCTTTGCGTTGGAGGATACACCATGACATATTTTAGGATATGATTGTAAGCTTTCGAAATAAGTTTTCCTCAATATCGTTTGATCAGATTTTACAATTCTTGCCTAAGAGCATTCCTTTACAATGTCTCTTGTCAAATGGAACATTGCAATTGTGGTTGATATTCCGGTGCACTTTATATTCTCAAGCTCGAGGAAGACCTGTATCGCATTCTATGTGATCCTGCCATATGGTATCTCTTGCGATAGCATAGGTCACACGCCATCCCATCTAAGAATTATTGGGTGGTTTGCTCACTGCTACCCTCTGTCGTTACAAATGTCCCAGTGCCCCCTCAGAACCTGCTGGGTAGTTTGGTCCAGATAATTCAGCCCAGTACTGGTTCTTTGTGCTGATGACGTTGTGCTCATCTTCGGGCTCGAGCTACAAGCGCAACAGCATGTGATGGTGTATTGTTGTCGTTCTGTGTGAGTTCAAGTATTGCGCACTCGTCATGAGTTTCGAAAAGCTTGAGTTTTCGACAATCGATCCAACTAAACCCTTTCTCTGAGATCAACAGCTTCCCGGGCTTACCGTGCACCGATCTTCGAAAATCAAAGCGGCAATGACCCGAGTGTTACTAATAAAACACGAGTGCAATTCGGTTCGAATACCGTTCGATGAATGACAAAAAATAACAAGGCGCCTTAATAAGAAGTTTAGCCAACTTCAATCAAAGTTTTACTCGCGGATGCTGACATAAGGTTAGACTCAATCTCGACATGTCGGAAAATGACCGTAGAGGAGCGCGAAACAGCACTGGTCGACACTCGGTTTGAGGATTTGAAACTAGTTGACTTCATCCCGATCAAGGGTATTTTGTTGGGTAAATCGGTGTCACAATACCAAGGTCACCCAAAGTATCACGGAAACTAATGAATGGGGCCTTTAAACGTTTTCGACTCTAATTTCTCATAAGGTTCTTTGTTGAAAATTTTGCTACATAAGATAAAAGGAAAGATGCGAATGAATAGCCACCAACCTCAACCACCTCGTTCGTGTAAACCTTCGGGTAAATCTGTGATAATGGCAGGCTTACACAGATGGCGGCCCGGTGGAGAAAATCTATTTCACGTGGTGGTGATTCCATTGCAGATAGAAGTCTTGATGAACATCCTCGTAAGAAGAGATAAGGGCGATGAGGAGATCGTAGCCCTTAAATGTGATATTTTTTAATTGAAGGATTTCGCAAAAACAGATGTTTACCTCCGAAATATTGTGGCTCGAATATAGTGATACAGGAGGATTCACAGGATTCCACGGGTGCTATAGCCTGCACCGATTCTTCGATATCACAGAAGCGATCGAACTGGGGAACGCTGGAATTTGAGCACGTTTCTTAGGAAATGTTGTTAACGACTAGCAGTGCACTTGTACCGTCGATGTAGGAGTCCAAAAATATTGGACACCCAGACTGATCAGGGACATCTCCACTCTCAAACCTTGTAAAAGACGACTCTCCACTTCATGCTCACCCACTTATGGAATGCTTCATTACTGTGAGATCACACAAGTTCAACTCGCGAATCAATACCCCAGGAAGACAGCAGGATTTATTTTGTTCCATATAATCTTTCCATGTATAGAGTATGTAGAAGTGGTGTTTTGAAAAAGCGCAGTCGCGAAAAGGGGTGATGTCATGTTGGTTTTTCAACTATACTTACAAGATGAAAGAAATCAGATTCATCAGTCATGATAATGCTTTTTATTTCTCGTATTTCAAAATCTTTTATTAGAAGCTTAGGCTTCGTCAGAAAAAAAGCTCTTGGTTTTTTATTGGTTTTGCTTGTGTTGGGTCGTTCGGAAAGCAGTAGCAAATTTTGAACGTTTCAAAAACGTTTTTCATCATCTGCTCTAGGTGCATTTTGCAGTCCCCCAAAAAATTAAAGGATTTTCCATGAAAAGAGTTCTATAGAGATCTGGACAAATGACAGTCTGATGGTGCTATATCTGGACTACATACAGGGTGACCCACATGAAGTGTGACGGGCAATAAAAAAATCAACTTATGTGCTTCTTTGCTGGAGGATGCGGTGATCCCTTNGGCGGAAAGGAACGCGATGAACGTCAGCTAAACCTTTCCCAGGATTGGGCACCAGCCCACAGCGCAAAGAAGATGCTGCATTGTTGTGAAACACCGCTTCCAGGTTTTTTGTGCGGAGCAGGTTTGATCTTCAAAATTCCCCGTTCTCAATCCTGTGGATTTTGCTGTGTCAACGATTCTGGAGCAAAAAGCCTCCGCTTTCAAAGACAGGTCTTTGGACCCTCTGAAAAAAACCTCTCTTGTAGAAACGGGGGATGAAAGCGATTGTGCGCATTCTTGAAAACTTCTGAAAGAGGTTGGATGCTTGCATTGAAGCGAAACATGGTCATTCTGCATGCGAAATGTGATATGTTGTTTACAATTTTGTGGTGATTGTATAGGAGTAAATGTTTCCTATTTAGTTTGATTTGTATAATTTTGATGCTAGTTTTCTGCGTCACACTTCATGTGGGTCACCCTGTATATGGGGGATGCGGTAACAAGTCTCATCGAAACCCAGATATTTTTATTAAGCCGTCAAAAATGTGTGATGTTGAGGCGCGACTTGAGGGTTGAGGTGACATCCGCCTTCAATTAGACTTTCATACCATCGCTGTTTCTCTACTTTTTTAATTTTTGGTTGTTTTGAGTCTATTTTCATTAATCTTAATCATGAGTCGTGCGAGTTGTGAATTCCCGGTCAACCGATTCTTCCCCGCATAGCCCACCCTCTGGTGGCGGAGTCCGACTAACCACCTAACCTGAACGTTCCCATCCTCTCGACTGCACTCCCACCAAATTTCAGCGCTTTGGGTCCTCGGAGTTGAACAAGAGTTACGAATCTCCGGCTAAGCACATATACCGACTCACACACATATGTATTAATCCAAATACAAATACACACATACACATACGCAGACACGCACACACCCACACACCCACAAACACACTTGGCGAATTATACATAGTAGGATAGTCTGAGCCGTTTTCATCCCTTGTCTCCTTAGCAAATCTCTTTCTGTGAAAAGTGGGCTTCAAGAAAGTATATACTACGAGCAGGCTTTTTCAAGTGATGTGCACGCAANGTTTTCTAGTTCGATATGATGCATTTCTGTATTAATTTAAAAAAAGGGATGTTTGTAGTAGAATGAAATGAGGCGTACTCTTACCTGTTACTTCCAGCAAAAACGTCGGTTTTCTCGAAAATCGACTTGTATTCAGATGATGCGCACGAGTAACATCTGAACTACAAACAGTGAATGAATAAAAATTTGTTTCTTCTGCATCAACCTCAACCTCTTTCTCGTCATTCGATGTAAATCGCCATCTTTTGGAAATACGTAGTAGGTGTCCTTCAATGCATATTTCCCCTCAACTATATCACTGAGTATAAAAGACCGTATTTCTATCCTCCAAGCCTCCTTTCCCCTTATCGTTCAATCAAAGGGAAGCCTATCATTGTTTCGATCATCAATTCACGATATTCTGAAATAGGAGGATCAACTAGTGGTGTTTCGCATTTAGTAAAGATTTGTTCTTTCCTGTATCGATGACTACTATGTAGTGTAGGCAGTAGAAAGGGTTAAGCACTGAACAAAGAAACATGAAGGTGCGAAATTTTGATCCCATCTTCATTCAAGAAAATTAGTTTCTCAATACAATATATAAGTAATATTTTTTCTATCATTTCACATTTTCACCCATTTCACCTATCGACAGTTTCCAGTTTCACTGTTTTATTTGTCTAATGTACTCTTCACCTGAAGAGTGGTTTTTTTCCATCGACGTTAAGCATAGTGTCTAGGCAAGCAGTGTATCAGAATACATATATTTCCAAGAGGAATTGCCTTCATTTCCCAAACACACATAAAAAGAAAGGATGTGAGCGGAATTTAATGGAAATAGCGGTCAGATCTACTGGACGTCCATCAAGATATCTATTTTCTTCTTTCCATTTCTCTCTCTTACTTGGTTGTTTCAAAAACATGAAATTATTTGTAAGCAATTTGCGGTATTCTACCCGAATTTCACAGCAAGCGGCAAAGGTTTGGCGGCAGTCACCGCATTCTCCCATTCAAAGTTCAAATCTTCCCCTTCACAGCGCGTGATTGTGTGCAATCGAATGCGGCGGGCGCGGCACTTCGTTCGGGTAGGAAACCCCACACTCATACATACGGAAAATCTCCATGTTCTCGTCTGGGCAGTGTTGGAATTTTCTTCATTTTGTACACGCTCCCTGTCGAAACGCAAAACGCCCTCGTCGTGGAGAACTAACAGTACTGTTGCTAGTTTTCCATAACGTATAGAAAGGAAGGGAGGTCCAGACGATATTGCCAGCATCGCATGATGTGTCTGCTGTCTGTAATCTACAAAATATTCACACGCACCACCCGCAATAGCTCTGGCAGAATATTTCAGAAAGACTGTCATGCGAGCAAGCACGGTTTCGGAGAGGGTTCAGCAAGATCGATAACATCGGTACTGTCAGAAGACTCATTGAAGTACACGAGAGTACAGCATGCCGCTATGTCTGACGTTCAACGATTTGAAGAAGGCCGTTGGTACCGTCGGGAGGGAACTGTGACTGAAACTTTCGTGAGCTCCAAAACAACTTCAAGACCAGGTTTCCGCCATCGCCCAAACTTCTCAGTGCCGCTCTCGAGAACATCATGCGTCATTTGGGATGGAAAGACCTGGGAGTAACAAAGACCGCAACTTACATAAGCTCCGCTTTGCAGACGACATCGTGCTTATAACACCGAATATCGAACAGGCGGAACGAATGCTGGCTGACTTCGGCAGCGCTTGTACGGTGGTTTCTCTAAGAGGAACTTAACGAAGACGATGTTCATGAGAAACGGATTGATACCTGATGTTCTCTCCATGCTAAACGGAACGGATATCTCCGAATGCCCTAGCTACGTATATCTAGGTCGAGAAGTCAACATCATGAACCAACATCACCCAGCTCCGGAGCTGAGCAGATGGAACGCGCGGCATGAGGAGCAATGGAGATTAATAAAGGAGTGGTGAAGAAGGCAAAGAACATACGACTGCGCGCTCACCTTCCCGATATTGCTGTCTTTCCTAGTTCGACGTGCATAAGGATTTTCGTTTGACCCTAGAAAAAGAGTGAAATGCTGTCAGCGTCATTTAACGCACCTCGAAGAGGACGATGTGTGGAATTACTTTATACATGCAAGTACAGGAAAGAATCTGAACTTTTGAGCACCGCCAACGAAAGAATATCAGGGCAGGTGAGCTGGACATAACATGAAGACCGTTGTCCCAGCACGCTGCTGACTGGATTCCTCGGACAGTCAAAGGAACAGCTGGGTCGCAAGCACGATGGTCAGACTTCTTGAAGGAGTACCGAGAGGAATAAATGCCTAGTTTTCATCCAGGAGCAAGGAAGGTCCATTGGACTACTCTGGCTGCGAAAGGGACGAATGGAGACGTTGCTGGTGCTAGCTCGAGGAAAGCGATGATCAGCGGGACGACAGCTGATATGTATAGTAGCAGTCGAAAGTATACGCTGAAACGCTTTTTTCAATACTTTCTCGTTTTCTTGACCAATTTTGTTTCAATTTTGATGTTTTGTCGTCCAATGTCACCAACAAATTGCACCACCTATACTCCCGCGCCGTGTCTAGTACGCAATTCTGATCGATATTTTTTGTTACGGCTAACGAGAAGAGCAGCGATTGCGAGGATGCTGAAGATTCCAGAACACAATGAATCATTGATTCTCACTCGTTCCCACAGAAGGAACGCGAAATAAGTGCTCCGAGAATTGGCAGGCCACGTGCAACATCTGCTCGCCAACATAAGTGCATCGTTAGACTCACATAAGACGATCCCACGTTTACAAGTGTCGGTATCGCAGATGACTTCAATGCCAGTGTGGGCTACATACCGGTACATGCACGATGTCTAGAAGTCTCAACGTGGCAGGGTTTATCGGAAGGTTTTTGGCCAAGAACCCGCTAATCAGCCTCTTAAATCGGAAGNCATTGATTCTCACTCGTTCCCACAGAAGGAACGCGAAATAAGTGCCCCGAGAATCGGCAGGCCACGTGCAACATCTGCTCGCCAACATAAGTG